ATCGTCTCAAGTTGACACCAGATTATGTAACTACCACACTGCCCATCCTGGCCCACCCTCGTGACCAGTGGGAGGTGACAGTCTGTGGCCGTGGTGGCTCAGGACTTTTGAGTGCCATCGATCTTGATGGAGTTCTTCAGTATTCCATGTTCTCTTCGGCCTTTTGTTGTTGTTGTTGTTGTTGTTAGGTGCCGTTGAGTTGGTCCCGACTCAGAGACGCCCTGTATACAACAGAACAAAACGCTGCCTGCTTGTCTTTGAGTCCATAATTGCACCTTAAAGCAAACCAAACCGAACACATGCTGCCGTCGAGTCAATTCTGACTCACAGCGACCGTGTAGGATACTGTGGAATTGCCTCAGGGAGTTCCTGAGACTCTCCTGAGGAGTGGCTGGTGCTCTCAAATGACTGACCTTGTGTTTAGCAGCCCAATGCATAGCCACTGATCCACCAGGGCCCTCTGGTTATAACTTAGGAAGTACCAACTACTGGCCATGGTTAAACCAGTAGAGGTTGGGATAGTTACTGTATTGAAGATTTTATTGTTTTGGGATTTTTTTTAAAGACATGTCAATACGTTTCTGGTCTGGCTATGCTTATATATTAAAAATAAAACAAACCCAAACTCATGCCACTCTGACGGAAAGCGGCCCTATAGGACAGGGTGGAACTGCCCTGGTGGGTTTCGGAGACTGCAACACTGATGGGAGGAGACGGACCGTCTTTCTCCTGCAGACTGGCTGGTGGTTTTGAACTGCTGGCCTTGCAGTTAGTAGTCCGACGGGTCACCCCTGCACCCCCAGCACTCCCTGGGTTCTATGTACGGGTACTAACTTCCACCCAAAGCTGCTTAGAAGGAGTTGTGGGGATGGAGGGGGCTACCCGTATCTTAAATCCTTTTATGAAGAGAAAGGCCGACCACGGATCAAGGTCCCCCACAGGGTGTGGATCCGAATCATTCAGAGGCAGCTCTTCTTGGACGCTTACACCGTCCCCCTTGCCAAAGGATCCCTGGTGGCATCGTGGTTACACAGTGGGCTGAGATCTGCAAGGTCCGCAGTTGGAAGCCCCTTTCCCAAAGTAAGTGGGGTGGGGGGAAGAAATTGAAGGAGAATAGATTTTCACACGAACCTTTGAAGCCTCCAGGTGCAGATGTGGGCCAGCTGGCCTTTCACCCCCTTATCTACCATCTCGTGAACTTTGGGTCTCTTTCTTCCTAACAGGGCATGTTATATAGTTTGGTTGGAGGGCAGGGCAGTGAGAGGCTGTCATCCATGAACCTGGGCTACAAACACTACCAGGGCATTGACAGCTATCCCTTGGACTGGGAGCTCTCTTACGCCTACTACAGCAGCATCGCCATGAAGACGCCCCGGGACCAGCACACGCTACAAGGGGATCAGGTAGGAGAGCCTTTCCTGAGCTGTCTGTCTTCCCAGGGGTGTGCACCCGTGGCTGACTTGCCTCTTGACCTACAAAGGACATGCATCGCCCAACGAGAGGAAGTCTTTCTTGGGCTCTCCGTGGGTGTTCCCTGGGTTTCTCTGGCCGAGCACGGGCATGAGAGGCTTGGCATGAGCGGATTTTCTGAGATGAGACCGTTGGGTTTGATTTTGCAAAAAGGCGCACACACACAAAAAAAATATTAGCAGCAAAATCCTAAGCCTCTTGCCTTTTCTCTGAGAGCCTGTGAGGGAACCGGGGCCCCGAGATGTTGGAGAGGAGGGGGCAGGTGTTGCACCTCATGGGGGCAGGGAGCTAACTGCTTCTCCCACTTGATAAAGGGCCATTGGGGACTGAGTTATGCAGACGCCAGTTTCTCGCCCAGCCACTGCTGGATGCCTGGAGGGACATCTGTCCCTGTCACCTGGACCTTGCTGACCCACAGGGCTGGCAGGCTGTCATGTTGGAAGAGTCCATCTGATCCAGATCAAAGACTGGACCAGAGGCACTTACTCCGGCCTCTGGCTTGACAGGCTCTCAAATCAGATGGCCTCACTGCAGGTGCCAAAGCCACCATTGGCTTCCAGTTGA